TGGCTCCCGCCTTCCCCAACTGCCCCCCCCCCGACCCGCCCCCGGCTTCCTGTTCTCTCCACCTGGAATGCTCTGGCCCTGCCCTGGAGACTTGAAGGGACCCTGCCCATCCATCTATCCATCCATCCATCCATCCATCCATCCATCCATCCACCCATCCATCTTCCCTGATCCTCCCATCAGAAATAAACTCTCTCCAAGAAATTCCCACAGTTCTGAGTCCCTATTGCACATCAGTGACTGCCACTCAGTCACTTTTCTTGGACCTCAGTTTCTTGTTCTAGAAATCCAGATTGTTGGACCAGATGGTCCCTGGGGCTCCTTCCTGCTCTGGCCATCTGAGGAGGAAAGAAGGGGCCAGGACACAGTGAACGGTGGGGACGTGGAAAAGTGACCCAGGAGCCTCATATGGGACATGGTGACCTCTCTGTCTCCCGAGCAGCCAGTGTGGCCAGGCTCTCCACTGTGGTTAAACACTTCTTACTGTTATCTCATTTCACCCTCCCAACCCTAGGAGGTATTGTTATCCCCATTTCACAGACGAGGGACTGGGGCACAGAGAGGTTAGGGTACCTGCCCAACGTCACACAGCTAGTGGGTGGCAAAGCCAGTCTCCTAACCCAGGGAATCAGGTCTGGTCCCAGGCCTGGAAGGAGGGAAGGCAGAGGGGGTGACGAAGTGCAGGCTGCCTCCTAGTCTTGCTCTGTGGGTTCTAGGTTTTGTTTTTCCTAAGTTAGCTGTTCCCTCAGGCTCAGTAGCCCACCTGAGGAGAGCTGCCTCCCTGGTATCTCCTCCTACCCTTTTGGAGGTGAACTCTGACCCAGCCCAGCCTCTTCTGTGGGCAGATTCATTCAGCAAACTCTGTGCCTGGCCCTGTCCTAGGTACTGATAGTGTGAAAACCTATCTGACAGTCCCTGGCCTAAGAGCCCATATCTTATGGAGAAGACTGACAGGTCACCTTGCTGTTAAAATACAGTGTGTGCCAGATAGTATGAGGGAAGGCTCTGTACACAGAGGATTGTCTGAGGACAGAATGGAGTTTGGGGTATGGCTTGTCAGTGTAGGTGATGTCTGATCTAGATCTTACGAGATGAGCATGAGCCTGACAAGTGGAGAAAACCATGTGGGTGAGCATTCCAGACAGAGGGAACAGCATGTGCAAAGGCCTGGCGGAGAGCACTGCAAGTTGTTTAGTGCATCTAGAGCTGCGCTGTCCAGTAGAACTTTCTGGGATAATGGAAGTGTTCTGCATCTGTGCTGATACGGTAGCCACTGGTCACCTGGAGCTATTGAGCACTTGAAATGTGCAACCTGGTGCAACTGGTACAACCGAGGAACTGAATTTCAATTGTATTTCATTTAAATTCATTTGAATTTCAATAGCCGCATGTGGCTAGTGGCTACTGTATTGAACAGTACAGGTCTGGATGAAAAGAAAAGGCTGGAGAAGAAACTTGGGGCCAGTAGTGAAGGGCCTTGAATGCCACACCCAGGCTTCGTGCCCTTCTTCCCAGACAATGTAGAAATCCTGCAGTGGCCCCGGGAGGAGAGGCAGGGACACATCTGTCCTGTCAAACAATTACCCCAGCTGCTCTGTGGGGCAGGGAGGAGCCTGGGGCCACAGTCCAGAAAAGAAGTGATGAAAACTGAACCAGGGTGGTGGGTATAGAGAGGAGAGAACAAATTCCAGGGCAAGCTTGATGACTGATTGGATTGGGGGCGTGGGCCATGTCAAGGGTGACCCCCAGATTTCTGGCTTGGATGGCAGCGGGGGTGGGGGGTGCCCTTCACTGCGATGGGGAACGTGGAGGAGGGGCAGTTTGGGGGTCCTGTACCACTATTCCAGCGTCCACTGTGATGTGAGTGTCTATGTCCCTGTCTCCCCCCAGCCCATCTGCACACCTCCTGAGGCATCATGGGTTGGGACTCGTACCCCATCCCTCTCCCTGTCGCTGACACAGCAGCATGTGAGGCCCAAGGAGGCCTCATTCAGCACATGTTTGCAGAATGGACGAATGAGTGTTCCATTACTCCCGGGATCCCGTTGTTCCCTGGCCCTGAAAGCAGGGAGGAATTTGACCGTGTCCCTGGGGTGCCCTGAGTGATATGAGGAACAAGGCCTCCAGGGCAGTTTTCTCAGAGACTCTGAAGAGCTGCCTGGGTGGCTGGATCTATGAGGACCACCAAGGGGAAGGGTTGTAGCATTTGGTTCATCTCCTCAAAATCTGTGTCTCGAGCAGACTATGTCCCAAGCTGGACAGACCCCAGGCAGTCAGAGAGTAGTAGTCTTAGGTGAACATGATCTGTCTGTTCCAGTGGCTCTGATGCACATGAATCTATTAGGAATGACTTCCAGCTGTTAGTAATAGAGAGCTGCCCAGAGTAGCTGAAATTAGATAGGGGTGTATTTCTCTCCCACGTAAAACAGCTCTATAGGACAGGACCCCAGGCAGTGGTGTGCCAGAGCCAGCTTGTCCCAGTTCCTGAGAACTAGTTGTGCAAATCTCTTCCCAGCTCTGCATCCGGTGACCTCACATGGAGAGCTTCAAATTGGCTCTGGGGGGAGCCTTTACACCAAGGAAATTGGCCAACACTATAAATTGGGGCTGTTTTTCTTTTTTCCAGAGGGCAAGCTTCCTAGCATATCACTGACTGCAGTCATGGTGTGGCTGCCCCATCAGGGACCCAGGTTGCATCTTCCTTCTATTTCTCTGGTTTCAGCCTGTCACATCCATCTTTCTGGCTGCCTTACAGCCTGAGATGGCTACCAGAGTTCCAGTCATTATGTCTGTGTAAGCTCTCTACTCCCACAAAACAAGCTATTCCAATTTTTCTATCTAACTCGTATTTTCAAGGCTGCCTCCTCTTCATCTTTCAGCTGTCATCACAGGTGTGACCTCCACAGAGAAGCCTTCCCTGACATGCTACCTAAATTCGCCACCCCTCCCATTCGGCTTTATTTTCTCTAGAGCATAGACCATAATGGGTAGCTCTCTGATTCTTTTATTATTTTCCTTGTTATTATCTGTCTTCCCCACTAGACTGGAAGATCCCTATTAGTAGGGACTGCATCTGTCTGGTTCTCTGCTGTGTCCCGAGTGCCTCAACAGTGCCTGGTATATCATAATTGCTCAATAAATACTTGTTGAGTGAATAAGGGATAGTAAGCACAGATCATTTTGTTTTCTACATGCTTCCCTTAGTGTGTCATCATGACCATTTTCTCATGTTGCTGTTTAGTCTGTAAAATTAGTTGGACTAGATGTTTTCTGAGGGCCCTCCCTGCTCTGACGAGATGAGTGGGCAGGAGGTGAGTGAACAGGGAAGTCAACTCCCTGGCACCACTCACAGCCCAGGCTGACTAGGGAGCCTGGGCCCTGCTCAGAGGCTGTTTCCATGGAAATTCACTCCCAAAGCAAACTTCCTTGAGCCCCATCTCAGTGCCAGGCCATTGATGGGTACGGGGGATATAGAGAGAAAACGGTAGGGAGGACCTGCCCTGCATGGGGATGGATAACGGACAGCCAGAAGAACAATGAGCTGTGATACACTGGGCTAAAAGTCCAGAAGTACTGGGGCCACCAGCCTCCATACCCCATTCATTCATTTGGCAAATACTTATTGAGACCCTAGTGTGTGCTGAACACTATTCTAAGCATTGGGGATGGAACAGTGGACAAGCCAGACAAGATTCTTGCCCTCATAAAACTCACATGCCAATGGAGGAGATGAACAGTAAACACAATGTCAAATAAATAAGCAAGCTCATGGACAGCAGGAGGTGCTATGGAGGCCACTAAACAGGAGGGTGGAAGGGATGCTGCTGTGCATGGGCTGGTCAGGCCACACCTCTTCGAGGAGGCATCATCTGAGTTGATACGTTAATGCTACAAAGGAATCACAGGGAGAAAATCTGAGAGTTAAGTGCACCAGGCAGAGGAAGCAGCAAGTGCAAAGTCATAAGGCTGAAACAAGCCCAGCGTGAGGCACAGGAAGAAGACCGCTTTGGCTGGATGGGAGTGATGGCGGAAGGATGGTGAAGACAGAGGTGGGACTAGGGACAGGGGACTGAGGCACTTGCTTCAGGTACAAAGTTGAATGAAGCAGGCGCCCCAAAACTCAGTAATCAAGATAATATCTAATGCAATTTTTAAAAATCAAAATTAATGCCAAAACCCCCATGATGAACAAAATGTCAAATTTTTAAATCAAAACAAGATGACTAGCAGTGTCCTGCTGAGCCATATAGGAACCAGATGCAAAGGAAAAATGAGTAATACCGATCCTGTCCTTATTTAAAAATTTGACCTGTTGTCTATCATGGATTTTTGTTGTTGTTCATCATGGGTGTCATCACTATAGAAAACATGTCACCTGGTGTCATGATCATGGTTTCCAGAACCAGACTTCCTGAATTCCATTTCTGGCACTACCCCTGCATGCTTAGCTGTATGCCTCGGGGCCAGTTTCTCGACCTCTCTGTACCAGTGTCTCCATCGGAAAAGGGGGCTGATAATAGTGCCTACCTCAGGGTTATTGAGAGGATTAAATGACAAGCCAAGGTCTAAGAACAATGCCTAGCCCACCCGAAGCGCCCAGAGGATGTTGGCAGTCAGTCATAGCCCTTGACAGCAGTACAGCCTTGGTTCCTGCCAGAGGATTCTAAGCAAGGAGTCTTGGCCAGCAAATCAGGGTGGGTCAGAAAGTATGTGGAGGTAGATTGGAAACAGGGAGACCAGAGCCCCTAGGATGGCCAGAGAGGAGGCTGTTGCAAAACTCCAGATGGAAGATGGGAACAGACTCTGGAGATAGTCAGGAGACAGACTGTGGAACGTGGTGGTTGTTAAACTGTGAAGGGAGGCGGGTGCTGGGGCAGGAGACGGATGAGGACAGGATAGCTTCCAGTGCCCGCAGTGGACGGGCCTGGGCTCTGCATCACCACGGAATACCCGGGCCGGATCTGGCCGGCGCCCCCATCCCGATCTTGTCTGTGTTCCAGAGGGAGCTGAAGGAGCAGCTTCAGGCCCTTCAGGACAGTGAGCGGGAGCACACGGAGGCGCTGCAGCTCCTCAAGAGACAGCTGGCGGAGACCAAGGTGAGCCCGGCCTGGACGTGGGGGCGGGGCTGGCTTAGTGGGGGCGGGGCTTAGTGGGGGCAGGGCCATTTGGGAAGTTGAGGGGCGTGGCTTCGAGGGTCCAAACTCCAGGTGTTAGGCCGGGGCATGGGGGTGGGGCGGAGGCTGGGGCTTCCCTGAAGGTAAATGGGGCGGGGACCCACTCCAAGATGACTGAGGGCAAGTGGGATCCTTTCTCCCTTCCTGTTTTGGGTGAAAGTTGAGGTGGGACCAGGGACCCTTTGGAAAACCCTGGCGTCCTGCGGGGCTGGAAGAATGTACCTAGTCTCTCTCTTTTTTTTTTTCTCCCGTTGCTAAACACACCCATTGCCCAAGGAGCCAATCCTGAGAATGTTCCTTCGAAGCCCTCCTGATGATTTGTGGCTCAGCCCTGGTATCAGCTCCCCTCTTCAACTCGGACTGGAGATATAGACTCTGAAAAGTAGCGTCAAACCCTGCAGGCTCTGGCCACAGTGGTTTGAAAAGAAAAGCCTTTTTTCTTGACCTGAGAGGAAGGCCCTGGGTTCTGATCCAGCCACTACCGTGCTGTGTGACTTTGGGTAAACTGCATACTTATCTGGGCTCCTAGTCTTCCCATCTGTGCTGTAGGGACTCTGCCAGGCTCCTTCCAGCTGTGCTGTTCTGGATCCTAGCACACTTCCAAGGGGCTCCCTCCAAGTCCCCCACAGATACCTCTAACTGGGCAAGGCTTGCTCTGATTTCTGCTGTCCTTCTGGAACCGAGCACTGGGGACCCAGGCCTGACTGCTAAGCTCTTGGGTGATTTCAATGTGGCTCCACTCCATTTGCAGGGGTGCCACTGCCAGCAGCAGCTGGAGCAGAGCCTTAGGAATGCTCTGGGCCTCCAGAGGTCCCCCTGGGGCCTGGAGAGGCCATTGGAGATCCAGACCTGTGCCCCACCTTGGCCACCAACCCACTGTGGGGTCTTAGGGAGGTCATGACGAACATTTCTTCAGAGAACACTCTGGAGTGCCTCCGGGCAGGACCCTCAGTGGGCATCAGATGGGAAGCAGTCACAGGACTCTGGCCTCTTTGCTTCTCACAGCCTCATTTTCCCCACCTGCCTGGTGATCCCACACCTCTCAGGTGAAGAGAAGCAAATGGAAGCCTCTGTCTGGATGAGAGGGGAATATTATGGTCTGTTTCTTCTCCCCAGCATTCTGTTCTTCTCTCCACTCCCCAGCCGCATTGTTTTTCTCCACTGACCTTTTCCTCCCCTGCCTTCCTGTCCATCTGTCTACCTCTGGGGTGTCCTCTGGGGCCACCTTCCCCTCCAGTTCCCCCAGCCCTGCTTCCTGTCTGGACTGGGATGTTTATACAAGAAATGCCTATGGATGCTTTGGAGGTCATATTTCACCTGGTGCCTGACTCGGCTTTCCTGTGGCGCCTGCCCCTCCAATGGCCCGGCCTGAGGGCCCGTCTGATCTCCCTCCCCCAGCCCAATGTTTTCCTTGGTCGGCCCTGACCGAGTGATGTATTCTTGGCAGGGTGTTGTTCTGAAATGGCCCCAGCTCTTCCAAGCCCCAGTGTGTTCCCAGGGATGCGGTGGGTCAGGGTGGGAGCTGCTCTCCCAGTCGTGACTGAAGGGATTGGGAGTGGGGCGGGGCTGGCTCTGCCCTAGAAAAAACTAGAGTAAATGGGACACACCGGTTTAGCTGAACCTTTCTCTGTGCTGGGAACTGTGTTCCCCATTCATTGTCTCGCCGAACCACACAGAATGTCACCTCCATGACTGCAGGATTCCCCAGAACCTACACGGTGTCTAGCACACAGTAAATAGTTGTGGAACAAATGAGTGGGGGGAAAAGATACACCTTTTGAGGTAGGAATAGTTGTTGTCTCCATTTTATTGGCAAGGAAACTGAGGCCCAGAGAGGTTGAGGGGCAGGCCTAAGGCCTCACAGCTAATAAGTAGCTAATTGAGACCTTACTGTCCAGTTCTATCTGAGCCTAGTGCATATTCCAGCCTCATGCTGGAATGTCCTCAGCGAGATCTCTGGCTTTGTGGGCTGCAAGCCGGGTAGGCCTGGAGAACCCATCAGGGACATATTTCGGGCTCCTGGGGTGGCTGATGTTCTACTTCTGAGCCGCCCTCTCCCAGCCTCTTTCTCTCCTCTTGTCCTGGGGACACTGGGCCCCTACCTGAGAGAGAAGATGGAGTCTGCACCCACCTCTACAGAGCAATCTTGGGCAAGACCCCTCCCTCCTTTACCTCTCAAGCAGGTCCTAACCATCAGCCTTGTGCCAGGCTCTGGGATGCAGGGCTAAGGAAGATGTCATTCCTACCGGGAGGGGTTCATCCACTAACTGGGAAGCCACATAAAATGTGGGGCAGTATATTCAGAATATTTACAAAATGCTCTGGGAACATTTAGCTATTTAACTATCTGGAAAAGTTAAGGAAGGTATCACAGAGAAGGTGGCTTTTGATATGAGTCTTGCAGGATGAGTAGGAGTTTGTCAGTTGAATAAAGCATTTGCTGGGGGAGGGGTCCACTCTAGGCAGGTGGAATTACGATGCAGCAGCACTAGAGAGGTAAGCAGGGATCAGATTAAGGACTTTGAATTCCAGGCTAAGAAATTTAGCACTGTACTAGTCATCAAGGAGCCAAGAAGGGTTCCTAAAGACGAGATCAGTGACCCAGTTTGCACGTTAGAAGGATCACTCTGGCAACAAGTTTGTTGGCAAAGATGTGGAGTTGACACGTGGAACCAGTGAGTTGGTGGGACCCAGGGGCATGCGTGGAGGAGGCAGGTGGAGAGATGAATGTGGCGCTCAGGAGACATGTAAGACCTTCGAAATGGACTTGGAAGCCATCCTCAAAGCAGTGGGAGTTGTGGGGTGTGAACAAAGGAGCCAGCCTGGACAAGTCCTCAGGAACAGGGGTGGCAGGGAGGGAGCAGACGCAGAGGTGGGAGGCAAACCAGAAGTTTCTATTACTAGAGGGTGGCCCTTGGGCCAAATGCTGCTGCAGATTGGCCGAAGAGCAGCCGGAAGGGGTGGCCATGAGATCTGGGGCTCTTTGGAGGGCAGTGGCAGACGGTGCAGGGAGGGCAGGCCCCAGCTTCCCCACCGTGACCTGCCGCTGCCGGAGCCTTGGCCCTCCCTGGGTGAGGGGGCTCCGGGAGGCCACAGGCAGCCTGGCCCTTCATCCCCAGCCTCTCCACCACCCCCTTTGTCTGCCCTGCGTACTGGGTGGGCAAGTGCAGGGAGGCTGGCCCACTGCCAGCAGCTCTTCCTGCCGCAGGCAGCCGGCAGCCACAACGACTGGGAGGGAACAGGCCCTAACTGAGCCTTTGTGGAGCCTCCCACAGAGCCCTGGGCACTGAACGCAGCAGGGTCTCTGACTCCGTGAACTCCCAGCCAAGATGCCACAAAGTCAAATTGCAGAGGCAGGCCCCACACGCTGCTGCTGTAGCCGAGCCGCACTTGTGTACCCAGTGTCATCCTGCCTCGTGCTGTCCCCTCGGCCCGCTGCCCGCACCCCGCAACTGACATCCTGTCCGTCGTTCAGGCCCCAGCTCAGAAGTCATCTCTCCACGAAGACTTCTAGGATGTGCCTGTTCCAGTGTTTTAAGAACCAGGCTCTTGGTCTGCACCTCAAACAATACCATGCACTTTGTGAATGTTCCCTCACTTACCATAGATAGCCCTTCAATGTTGTATACCCTTTTCCCAGATAAGAAAACTAAGGTTCAGAGATATCAGGCAACTAAGGTTGCCACAGCTGGAGACCCAGAGCCATTGGGCACCAAAGCTGTGCCTTTTACCACTCAACCCCTCCTGGGCCTGGCGGTGCCCTTGGGGGCAGAGAGAAACACGAAAGTCCATGCTTGTCTCCTGTGACGATGGCTTTAACCCCCCAGCTCTTGTTCCCTGGCCAGAGGGTCTCGGGGTGGCGGGACAGGGCAAGTGACCACCAAGCTTTGCCCAGCACGTTGCCATTTATAAAGCCCTTTAACATCGTGATCTTGTCATCTTTGCTTGGGCCCCATGAGTGATTTTTTTAAAAATAAAAATTTAAGGGAATTGCCTGGCAGTCCAGTAGTTAGGACTCTGTGCTTTCACTGCCGTGGGCCCAAGTTCGATCCCTGGTTGGGGAACTAAGGTCCCACAAGCCATGTGGCGCAGCCAAATAAATAAATAAATAAAATTTTCACTGTCTCCCAGACTGAACTCAGCATCCTCTCCCTGCCCCCCATGTCTCCTGCCAGCTTCCCCATCCCTCCCACCCCCAAGCCAGAAATCTGGACATCATCCTTACACCTGTCTCTCCTGTACCCCTACAGCCAGCCAGCTGGTCACCAGGGTCAAAGAGGCTCTCCTACAAATGTCTTTCAAGCCATGTCCATCTGCTGCTCCCCTAGTTCAAGCCTCATTGTCTCACCTGGACCATTTCATTAGTTTTCTAACGGAGAACAATTATCTGCTGTCCCTGCTATGCCAGTTCTCTCCTGCCACCATGCGTTTGCGTGTGCCATCCCCTCACCGGCATGCCTTTCCCACCCTTTCCTCTGTGCGTGCCAAGACGCTCGGTTTCCTCCTCTCACCCAGGGATCACCCCATCCACTCTCCCTGACTGACCCCTGATGACTGTCTCCACAGTCTTCCACCAAAAGCCTGCGGACCACCATTGGGGAGGTCTTTGAGCGGCTGCACCGGCTGCTGCGGGAACGGCAGAAGGCCATGCTGGAGGAGCTAGAGGCAGACACGGCCCGCACACTGACTGACATTGAGCAGAAAGTCCAGCGCTACAGCCAGCAGCTGCGCAAGGTGCAGGAGGGGGCCCAGATCCTGCAGGAGCGGCTGGCTGAAACTGACCGACACACCTTCCTGGCCGGGGTGGCCTCGCTGTCTGAGCGGTAAGTACCCGCCTGCTGTGGGTCTTCTCCAGGGGGTATCCCCTCCCTGACCCTTGTGGGATGCTGGGGTTGGAGGCAGATGGAGTGGTTAGCAGAGAATTCATTCATTCAAATCTCCATCAAATACACAGGACATCTGCTATGTGCCAGAGCCTAGGGTAAGAGCTTTATGTATTCATATTATTTTATATATAATACTTATATAATCATATAGGATATTACTTGTTTTATGTGCTTTATATTATATTAAAAATATGTGTTTTATATTATCTATTATATTATTTATAATAATGTTGATATTATATATAACAAATAACAATATGTAAATTATTATAATCCTAATAGCCCCTTGGAGGTAGTTACCACTGCCATCCCCATTTCACACATGTAGAAACTGAGACACAAAGAAGCTAAAGCAATTGGCCAAGGCCCTTCGTCTAGTATGTGGGGGAGCCAGGATTCAAGCCCAGGTCTCTCTAGTTCCATAGCTGCCTTTAATAATAATAACACTTAATTATTGGTTCATTAATGACCAATACTGATAGCTAACATCATGTATTCAGTGTTGACCTTGAGCCAAGTACCGTGCTAAGCATTTTACATACATTATGCCATGTAATCCTCACAAGCCTAGGAAGCAGGTGTTATCATAGTACCCATTTTAAAGATGAGGAAACTGAGGGCAATAGCTAGAGAATTAGGAAGTGGCACAAGCAGGCACTTGAGTCGGCGCTTGGGTCCAGCAGACTTCCCACACATGACCTCGCCCTATGCCAGCTTCCCTGAGGTGCTGGGATAGGAATCCAGCCCCCAATGTGGCCTGCTCTCTTGCTCTCCTTCCAGGCTCAAAGGGAAAATCCATGAGACCAATCTGACCTACGAAGACTTCCCAACCTCCAAGTACACAGGCCCCCTGCAGTACACCATCTGGAAGTCCCTGTTCCAGGACATCCACCCAGGTAAGGCCCTTCCTGCCACTCTCCAGTAGGGCTCAGGAAGAGGCAAGGATTATCATGGGTTGGAGCTAGATGGGGCCCGGCCCAGCCCACCCCTTGCTCTACACATGACATGGGGGCAGGGCAGAGGGATGAGAAGAGTGCCTTGCTGAGCACTTACTATGTTCCAGGGCCTGTGCTGGGCACCAGCACAAGAGGAGGTAGGTTCTACTAGTGTACCCATTCTCTACATGAAGAGACTGAGGCCCCGGGTGGTTCACTCATTCACTGTATGAGTACAGGATATATCAAGCACCTACCTCACACCAGGCACTATTCTAGGTACTAGAGATATAGCAGTGAGCAAAACAGGCAACAATCCCTACCCTCGTGCATCTTACTTACATCCTAGGGTGTGAGAGAGAAAAAAAACAAAATTAAATAAGTAAAATACATAGTTTTTTAGATAATGATAAAAGATAAGGAAAGGGGCTAAGGGATGTTGAGGTAGGATTGAACGTTTAGTAGGGGATCCAGTTAGAAGACCTCCCTGAGAAGGAAGCAGTAGAATAAAGACCTGAGGGAGGAAAGAATGCGCCAT